GGCGGGAGCGGCAGGAATATCATGTAGGGTACTAGTTCGAGGGAGAGTGGGAACGTCGCCTAGCAAAAGCAACGGTCAAATTGTAAGCGGACGAGTCTGCAAAATCTGGTCTAGGCGAATGGCAATTATTATTTAGGAGTGAGTTTGAAAACGGGGATATGTGATGGCCCATGAATGTGAATTTCAGAATACGGCATCTATCGTGTTCATGCTGCTCGGCATTATCTACAGTTACAATTTGCTAGATGGAGTGTTAAATACGTAGGCGAACTCATAAAGCCAGTCCCTGGGCATATGAGCAGGTTCGAGGTGAGTTTGCTCATTTGAACACTACTCGTTCATATTCATCTTGTGGTTTACTGTTTTCCCCTATCAATTTTCCGCTCCTGAGCAGTGTTAGCTTTAGACATCTGTTCTATGATCTGCACATAATGTGTATTTATCATGGGAGGACTTTCCTAAGAGCAAATCATCGCAATAGAACTGTTAATCAGCCGACACTCGAGCTTAGACAGACAATAATTTTTTTTTATATTTTAGAGATCCTTCTTAATGAAAGGTGTTTCAATGTAAAGGTTTTTAAGGATGAAAGTTGTCCCACAAGTCACGCAGCTGCGTCTGGAATATGTTCCAAGGAAGGGAAACTTTCTCCGAAAGAAAATGTGGAGGCGGGGGTAGGATGCTTTTGCCAGCTCTGCAGATATATTACTTCAAAGTAATTGCAGTATGTCCCACGACTGAGGGTATCAATGATACCTTCTTCTAAGAGCCTTGAATGATGCTTTATCGTTTCATGCCATCATATCAGAAAAATAGTAATCCGGTTGTATAAAGGCGGATGTATTCGAAGAAATTTGGTACGTTTTTTTTCAGGAGGTTTGTACATCTGCATCTTTGTGCAATCATGATGAGAAATTCACTTCAAAGAAGGATGTGGAGGTGAAGAAAAATTACATAGTTCGTCAAATCGAATGCCTCAAGAGTCATTTTTCAGAAAACATTACGTACATGTCTTCATAGATGTATGGAATCGGTCAAAGTTCGAGCAGCCATAAAACAAGCAGATCCAGAATTTTTCAATTCACTTGTGGCTACGTTAATGGGTGTTTGAGTAGCCAGCCACAATTATGATGTTCTGCTGTAGCGATGCCGTGCTTCGAGTGTTAGTCGTCTCCGAATGATCGTCTTTTTGATCTAAATGGTCATCTTTGTGAAATTCCAATGAAGATAAGCTCGTTTGGAAGGTGCATAGTGGTTACGTTACTACCAAATTTGATTCCAGTTATAGATTGCTTGATCCATACATTTAAGTCGGCAAGGTTTTTATGATTTCCGAGCAGGTTTGTAATAGCATTAGTACACGTTTTTAGGGTGTGCGATGACTTGCGGGGACTCGCTGTTGCAGCAGAACCTATATGTAGCTTATAAATATTTACTATGTGCGTGAGGAATATGTTCTTCATTTTAACTTTCGTCATTTACATATTGTTGTATTTCTGTTTCTTAATTCCTTATGAGTTTTATTTACGCTCATGTTTGTACCTTTTTCGTAAGAAGATAGTTTCTACCCTATTTTTATGCCATGAAGTTGTTCTGGGGCCGTAAGGTATGCTCCCCCGAACAGGGATCACGGAAATGGTGCCGTAACATTACTCGACATCGAGCCCTAACATTCTCTTCGAGGAACAGGTTGGAGTGAAGCGGAGGCAAGTGGTGTCACTGGCAGCATCAAGTTCAGGATTGGAAGCTCTTGAGATAATCAAGCTTCTTTTTTCTGAGTCGGCTTCAGTGCTACTAAATTCACTGACAGGGCGAAAACAGATTTCTTTATTGCCTTTGCTTATCAATAGGGCAAAGTACACATTTACATACCGCTCTTTTGAATGGAAATGGAGAGGCCAAAAAGGAACCCCGTGTCAAGTTCATCTGATGGTGGGCATGATATTATAGCGCGTCTCGTCCGATGACCTCATT